ACTATTTATAATCCCAAAATAAATTGATGTGAAAGAATGATATAAAATGGTGATATGAAAAGGCATTTTTAGTTTAGCAGTGCAATTCAAAAATCTAAAAAAATTTGAAAATGAAGAAATTTGATAAATATTTAACCATTTTCCAATTGTTCCGTAATCTTGAAAATATGAAGAGTATAAATTTCTTGGAAAAGATTATTTGGAATGTATGTTGTTAAGCTTTTGAATTTTTTTTTCATCTATTTGATGAGTTTTTTGATATCTTAAAATATATAATATTCTATATATATATATATAGAATACACAAAAATTTTTGAAACTCCATCTTACTTATCTAAAATACTCACTTTTTCAACCCACAAGGAGCATAAAAAGAACTTCGCATAGACAGTGTTCTATGATGTTTTAAGTCATTCTTGCTAATACAAATGTTCTCCGGTGTGTATCTCCAATTGCTAGTGTTAGGCGACTTCGTTTTCCATTGAATTACTCATAGTGTGCTTTTTCCCCATCCTGTGTAGGTTGGCGGCCCTCCGAGTTGTACTTAGGTTGTGATTTTTGGTGACAGTCTAGGCATCCTAATGTCCTCGTTCATCGCATCCAGTCTTCAGTCTTCAGCTTACATTGGTTAATTAATTTTTTGGATTTTCTGCTGTTGGTCTGCTTTAATGACTGTTTGAATGGCGCTTATTAGATGCTCATCATAGAAAAAAGATTATGGAATAAAGGCAAGTTAAAAGGAAAATTAAAATAAATTGTACTGTATAGGTTTGGTCGAAATAATAAAAGTTATAATCAAGTTGGCAAATTTTTTTCTCTCTGCAGAATTTGTGCAAGTCCTTGCAATGCACTCAGGTAACCTGTCAGTGGCAAGTCATTTGTTGAGCGCCTGTGCACGAGCCACAACGACAACAACAACTGTGATTGAGCAACTTTATCATACAAGAAAGTCATTTGCCAAGCTGACACCTAAAACTGATTAAAATATCAGCGCCACATGCCATAACATATACAGCATATGTGCGTGTTTGTGTGCATGCGCAGTCATTTTGTTTTGTTTTAATTGCTAAACATTGTCAACACAGATTTGCATATTTCGTGGTCGGCACAATGCACAATCACCCACACACACACACACACACACGCACACACACACACACACACATAAATGTACACTCATACACACACGAAGAGCAGACATCCGCTGACAGCGTTATTAGTTGGTCCGGCCAACGTAACGAAAATTGTTGTTTTTTCTTTTGCATAAAATATTCATGGTGGCCGAATATTTTTTATCAAAACATAATAAACAAATTTGCATGTTGCGCTGCAGTCGTTACTTCTTGTTTTTATAATTTTTACACTGGTCTGCGTCTCATTGTCAACTGCTCAACTTATTTGATTAAATGCATATGCTTATTATTGTTTTGTGAGTTATGTGGATGGACCTTTAGCCTTTTGGATGAAATTTAAAATTACGTTCCACGCTCGACTCCACAAGAATATATTTGATATATAAATATTCATATGTTTGCGTTTTTGAAATTATTCGCAATTTACTTTACTTACTTTTTAGTGCTATTATTTGCAAGTGTTTTAAATATTTTGCCAAAGGCAGCAGATTTTTTTAAAATTAAAAATAAAGTCGAAGCTGGCTTTGGTGAAAGTACTTTAGCTGGTTACCCCAATTATAATTTATTTAAAATAAAGCGTTTGCTTAGAGTATCGAACATTAAATACTCTTTTGAAATACTCGCTCGACTTTTCTTGTTATACCCTGTACCCAAAGGGTACTCTCAACACAACTTGGATTTATCGGTTTTACATGTAAGATAGTATTTTATTTTTATTTATGCCCTAATATATATTCCTATTGGTTTGGTGTAAACTGATTTATTATTTTCATATTAAAAAAAAAATAATATAGAAAAATGGAAGGAAAATAAAACCACGGGACTATTTTAAATATTGCCACAAAATTTGATCGGTTGAGCGGTTTCGGAGTCTACATGCATACTTCCATTTTTATATGAGTATATATAGATTATATTATAGATATAGATATAGTGTATATATAGATTTAATATTTTATAAAACGTTCATTTATTTTGAAAATTAATTTTATCAAATACAGAATTTTGAATTCTTCGGTTTGCCAACCTTTAACGTCCACGAAGTTTTGTTGCAGTTCGTGTTATTATATTGTTTCATTTGCTCACACAAATCGGCATGGTCTGTTTAATACTTATTATATTTTGAAAGGGTAAAAACAGCACACAAATGCTGATCCTTCCCATGCTGATGTAGTCCCAAGCGCAATAATCATACGCCATGTTGTCCCTTGTACCATCAGCTGCTTATGTGAGCTTTTCAATTTGTTTTGTTTTCCAGCACACTCACTCACGCACACATACACACATACACACATACACACATACACATATGCACATATTCATATATACGCATGCTCAGACATAAAAATAGCAAGTTTTGCCAGAGCTGCCATGGCCATTTGAGCTAAATTTTATATATTTTCGCATTGTAACGGTTATCACAACAAGCTACGAAGCAACCTAAAAGCGGGCAAATAAGCTGGAGCGAGAGTCAGCGAGCGGTCCCCCTTTTACTTTCATCATCAACAGCAAGACGCGTGCTGTTGGCTCTTGGTCGTTGGTTGTTGGCTCTTGGATGTTGCCTGCTGACTATTACAGTTGGCCTTAATAACAACACTTGTCGTAATATCCATTTTATGTTTGGGGTGGGGTTGCTGGGAAATCGTTTTTATGACACGCACCCGACGTTGTCGCCGGTCTTGGTCGTGTATGTGTGTGTGTGTGTGTGTGTGTGTGAGATAAAGAATTGATTTTATAGCGTCAAACATGCGATTATGAGAGCAAAGACACACTCAGGCATGTTGGCATATCAAGCCAAAGGGTGCCACCTAGTCCAGTGCGGGTGTCAGAGCAATAAAAACTTTGCACAGCTTTTTGGCTTTGTTCAACTAGCAACAATGCTGTACAAAAAAAAAGAAAAGAAAAGAAAAGTCTCATATACTCGTATATATTTAATATCCAACGAAAAAACAGCAAACACTTTGCGCAGTTTTGTCATTGCTACGAGCTTGTGCAGCAATAAAATAATATTTATGACAAGTGGCAGGGTCTTTGGCTTGAGGCTTTGGGCCTGGGCCTGGGCCTTGAATTGGTGCTCACTTTTCATAAATCAACTAAATAGCGTGCACAGCGGGTGTCGCTCGTCGTAGGCGCTGTGACTAATTACCCCTGCCCCTCTCATATCGCCATAAAGCAATTAAAAGTTACGCAGAAATAAATGTAGAAATTAGAAGTCGACGCTGGGTTAATGTGCTTAGAGAAGGCAGAAAATTATTCAACTGGAAGGTGGTACAAAGAGCAGACATCTTTTTTCTTTAGATTCCCTATAATTTTCTTATGCATTTTAAAGTTTAATAAATTACAATTACAAATGTACACAGCTTTGAGAATGTTTCTTTGCCTTTTTAGTTTACATAAATACATGTAGTATTTGTTCGTATGGCACCTGAATTTTAAAGTACACCGAATTCTGTCTTTTTTACACGATTTTGATATAAGACGGTTTGAAAATTAAAAATTGCATATATATTTCTTTAGAGATAAGGAACCAATCACTTATTTTTGCATATGATCAATGTTTTTTTCGCGGTTGTTTCTGGAACAAATCTACCGTGTAAAAACAGAATTAGGTGTAGTCCAGCCTGTATCAAAAGTTGCAATATATCGGTGTGCACGTTGTTAATGCGCAAATATATTGTTTTCAATACATAATCAAACAATTGGTTAGGATTTCAAACTCATTCTTATTTTATTTTCCAAAATACAGGTCATTAATACGTTTTCGTTGCTTATGTACTAGATATTTTCTTCATCGGGGGCTTTTGCTGATCATTTTCAATTTCTTATATTGGGAATTATATGGGCTAAAGGAAGGGTACATGTACAATTAAACCATAATTTCTATCCTATTTATCTAATGGGGGATCAAACTTCACATAAACTATCCCCAACAAAGTTCTAAAAAATCGCAAGTGTAACACTATTTTTGCTACATTTATTTATCCAAGTATATAATCCAATACAGATTTAACACTTTCATGGCCAAATTGGTTAAATAAAAATATTGTTTCTAAAACAGATCGTTTCTGAGGCATTTATATGTACTTTAGTTGTCCATTCGCGCTGGTTTTAAAAAACTCTTTCTGTGCATTATTGAAAATAGTTATAATTTAAACAAGAAAGGAATGCTAAAGTCGAGCATTCTCAACTCTTAAATACCCTGTACCACCCCACAAAAAAGTAATTAAATTAATTAATTAATTAAATTTAATTAATTAACTAAATTAATTTAATTAATTAACTAAATTAAATATAAAATATTCCATGCATGCATACATACATTTACATTTACATCAGAATCGTGCCTTATGCGTGTTTGTGTACTTGTACATATGTATGTATGTGTGCATTGGGCCTGGTTATATGGCTATAACATTCTTTCCGATCATTCTATCATAATGAGACTTGGTATACGGTTATATAATAACGGTCTCAGGAGAATCTGTATACCAAGTTTGGTTATTCTAGCTCTTATACTTTCGGAGATCCTTGCGTTCATACAGACAGACAGACGGACAGACGGACAGACAGACGGACAGACGGACAGACGGACATGGCTATATCGACTCGGCTTGTCATGCTGATCAAGAATATATATACTTTGTGGGGTCTACCAAGCCTCCTTCTGTGTGTTCCATGTGCACTCGCACAAAACTAATATACCCTTGTACCCTTTTGGGTACAGGGTATAAAAAAAATCGACACAAAGCATACTGGTCGACATAGGTATAAACACCATATCCCTATCCATATTAAATGAATCAGTGCTTCTAAGCCCGATATTAATTTAAATAAGAGATAGGGAATAAGTATATTTCAAACATCTATAAATACAAATTGAAATTAGGCGTTGATCCAACTTCGTATCAAATCGATGCCCTTTTGTTTAGCAGCTTTTGTTGCTGGCCAATCTTTTTCGCTTCTAACGCGCATCTCGTGACAGTGACCGATTCCTGTAATCAGGCATGAAACAATGCAGGGAATTGTGTGATGGGGAGAGATAAAAAGTAACGCTCACCTGGTATAATAGTAGCACGCTCATCGTGTATGCCAGTTAGTCGCCATGGATCTAGATCTGAAAATGTATAGTAGGCATTTTGAATTCCTGGCTGATAGCCACCAAACTTGACATTCATCTCATCAATTTTCGAGTTAACATAGTCTATTGTGTATTTGGGACCAAACTCCTTCCTACATCTGTCAACTTGTTTTGTGAAGGGCGATTTGTTGCCAAAAGGCTGATGCATTGACGAAGTAGTCTGAAAGTTGCCAAATCCATTGCACTGCTGATATAACCATTGACGTCCTGCAGTGGATAATTAAATCAATTGCTCATACTTGTAAGTGTTTATAATACACAGAATATGCTGGACTTACCGAAAGATTCGTGATTTATTTTTGTACCATTGTATGATCCCATTTCAGGGATTTTTCCGAGTTCTTTGGTTAGGTATGTAGCCATTCCAACAAGATCATTATTATCAAACGACACCAATGTCTTACAAAATTTATCCAGATAAGTGCGGCTGAAAGCAATGAGAGTGTTTCAATTAGTTTGGCGCCATTACTTTAGTAGTTTATGCCTCTTACTTTCGATGTTGTATGTTGACGGCTGTTACCATATCAATTTCTTCGAGGCCTTTAGTTATATTTTTGGCTTTCAAATCACGCAAAATGTGGTTATCCTTCAATTTCTTCAACTTGAGGTAGGTGAGGGTTGTGTTTTCTATGCGATCATAGCAGGGGTCACCTCCAACAATACGAAGTGCCTTGCCAATGCTAACATTACCATCTAAAAGGTATAGTTTCTATTCTGCACGGAATATACTAATAGTATGTCCAATGTAATCACCTGAATAGTCCAATCTATACCAAACCGGTGCGCCAGCCGCCCAAATGCCGGCAGCTAGGTCGGGGTACTCCCTTTTGAAATAGATGGACATGGTTCCGGCATAGGAGCAGCCAAAAAGTACAACTTTCGCGTTTTGCATGCCTGGTATTGTTTTCCGTTTGTGTCGAATGAAGTGTGCCAAGTCCGCCAGCGCCTGTTTAATATCTAAATACTTTAGATTCTCCACAGACCAATTGCTGTGAAAAATGTAGTTAGATTTAATGATGGGACACAGGTTTTCACTGAACTTACGGTCTTGGCTGACTTTTCCCGTAATAACGATGCTCGGTGCAAGCAGAATAGGCATTAAACTCCTTGACGAGCTCATAGTACAGTCCTATCAATACGTCCTTATACGTAACTTCCCATTCACCACCAACATTAATAAATAATGGCCCTCCCGGCTTATAGTAACGATCGCTGGCCAGGTACCGCTGCAAACAAGCAGAAAATGATTAAACAAATTTAATAATAGAGGGTCCATTAATACCATTTTCCAAGTGCGTGTGTCGCTTTTATTGAAATGATCCAATTTCTGTCGAATCCATAGTGGTTTTTCTTTAAAGGTCGCATCCAGTGGTACATTTTGGACTAATTGTATAATGCCAAAAATCAAATATAACTGAATCTGCATGTTGACAGTTATACGTTCACTGTTGAAAGTCTATTTGAAGTGAGAAACAGGCTATGAGGTGCTACGTTTAAATACAATGAACGGCCGTATCCAAACGACTTAAAGAGCGTAAACTTCTTGTAGTCGTAATATCAGAAGTCGTGACATTTTATGCTGTTTCAAACCAATTACGAATGGCGAATTATGCAAGTTGGACTTAAAGGTTAAGTACCAGCTTTGAACTCTACGAGCTTAAAATAAAACGGAGAGAAAAAGCTTTATTTATACTCTGTACATACAATGTGCAAGAGTATATTAGGTTTGCGGGAAATGAAAAATGTAACAGGCAGAAGGAGGCGTGACGGACCCCACAAAGTATATATATTCTTGATCAGCATGACAAGACGAGTCGATCTATGTCTGTCTGTCCGGATGCACACCTGGACCTCAGAGACTATAATTACTATATTTCCCTATCCCCCCCTTCCTCCATTGGGGGATTTTCCGATTTTCCGTTCGTATAATCACCTATATCTCGGAGACTATACGACCTAGGTACACCAAATTTTAGTCCCAGATGCCGTATGTGAAAATGCAGAAAATGTGTATTTTGGAATTTCCTTCCCTCCCCTCGCAATCACTGATTTTTACCTCCCATATTTCTTGGAGTTTTTCATTGAAATTCGGAAAATATTTCCAGTTATTTATTATTATGAGTCCGTATGCCAAGTTTCATAATGACAGGCCGATTAAACAGGAAGTTATAGCCATATCTGTATATATGACCAAGCAGTGCCCGCAGCTGTTGTTGTTGCTGCTTTGCACAGGCACACGAGACAAACACAGACATATTTATTCAACACATAAGTACAGAGTATTTCAAAGTCGGGACACCCAACTTTAGTTTCTCCACTTGTTTTTAATAACAGCTTATTTACATAAATAGTAGGAATGGCTCGTTTGATGTCCGTACCGTTCAATGGATGTTCATTTTCTCGTCCTGTGAAAACTTATAAAATGTGGTCTTCTGCTTATTGTATACCTTCAGAAATGAACATACTTCAAATACAAGAAATAGGCCTTCTGCCATTTGCATACATTTAGAAATTAAAATAACATATAATCTGAAGTCGAGTTGGTGCTTTGCCTCAGAATCAAGGTAAATATAATAAATGGCAATCTAATTAGTTAGTTGTCAACCAATTTCCATTTAATTACACTGATAATTTCCAATTACAAAATAATAATTAACATGACTGATAACAAATTATCTTTTAATTTTAAACTGCAACTATGGGTAAAATATTTTGAAAAAATTTAAAACAATTTAATTTTAAAATTTAAATTTTTTTTGGCTGCTGTTTATGATAACTAGAAATACTTGTACCCTTTTTACAATATTTTATGGCTTAATAAGTAAACACAGGATATAATAAATTTTAATGCCAGCCCAGAGGCTGCTAAGCCGCGTTCTTCAACGGCCTCAAATGACAGATTAGCGCAGATATTTAGTTTAATGTGGACCACGTTGTCCCCTCAAACCTGCCACAGCCAGGTGCTGCAAACAAGGGGTCGGGAAAGCCGCTTACGTATTTGTTTAGAGTCTATTATGTTTAAGCTGAGCACTCCAATACCTTGGGCAATGGAGTGTGTGCAGAGCTGCCTACTTGCTGGACCGAGTCTCGTTGAAGTTGCTTCAGTTGGGGCTGCCTCGGCGCTTATACGAGTATTGTCCATTAAACACCAAGTCATAACGAGCGCAGGCGCTGGCACGGAAATGGGTTAACTATGTATGTATATAAGTAGTATGTACATGTATATGTGGGAGTGTAACGTGTTAGGGCTTGTAGTTTATGTAATAAAAGTAAATAGGCGATAAATGGTGACTTCAAACTGCGTCTATCAGCACACACTTTCATTTCGATACGTGCACGAGTTGCACGAAGTTGAGCTCGTTGCTTTTGTTGTTGGACGCTGCTTTGTTTTTAAACTAGCACATAACTATAACAATAATTACAATAGCAGCACTGACAGTCAGTTGGCAGACTGTTGTTGATAAGCATTATAAATTGGGGATATGCCCGAATGGGTTTTAGTTGGAACTTACGTTTTATAAGAAGTAACTGCAAAAGGGACAACAAATAACAGACAGAACATATTTGGAATGAATCATTAGTGGGTGTGTAAAGAAATCTATTTTTTTGATTAGTTAACTTTAATTATGGTGAAATCTTTCACTCAGGCGGACAGTTTTGCTAGAACATTCCTTCGGTTGTAGTAAGCATTTAAGTATTCCTAGCTTGGGTAAGTGTCTGGCCAAGAGGGTTTTCACTGTAGTTCTAATTCATAAGTAATTGGTCAAATTGGATGCTTGAACTTTATATGATAATGAGATTCCTCTCTAAAAACACTAGTTAATTATTAAAATGTCGATTCATTTCTGGCATTCAATAAGTAAAAATTCTGTATTCCTTAAATTTTATATTATTTATTTTTTGATTGCATTTTAAACAAAACTTAGACAGCTAAGAGTTTGTAGACATATTGTACGGCCTTGATTGCGGCTCAGATAATTATGCGCAGTTAGTTTCGATGTGAAAGATGAAGACTGCTCAAGAGCTTGAAATTAACCAGAAACTTACAAAACGGTAGATTTAGAAAAATGCTCCATCTTTGGGTGCCTCAGGAGTTTTAGAGGAAATACGTAATGCATCGAAATTCAAAGTAACGACCATGTTGTGTGGAAAAGTATTTAAGAAACGACCATGTTGTGTGGAAAAGTATTTAAGAATAGAATATATCGAAAAAAGCTCTGATGATGATAGTTATTCCATGCCTTAAAATCTGCTAACACATTCATTGTTCATATTTCAAACATATTTTATAAAGATTTGTTCTTTATGTAATCCTACAAGTATAAACCTGACCTTCGTCAAATTATGGGCCAGCTAAGCAGATTGTATATTAATTCCAACAAATCATCATAAGCTTAAAATATGTGCATTTGGTTAATGTATACGTGAGTCGGAAAAGTGCCTAATAATTTGCCGAGCTTATTTTTTTTAATGACACATGAAAGCAGCTACTTATTCTATACTTATGCCTAATCAAAGTTGGGCACCTCACAAGAAGACAGGCATAATAAATAGCTTATTTACATGTTAATATGTGTATATAATATGTATATAAAGAGCGCCTGCAATTACATTGCAAAACTTATCAAGGCTTAATTTTTGGGCAAGGCAAGGCAAGGCAAGCCAAGGCAAGGCAGAGAGCAACCTTCAAACATTTGGAGAAGTGGCAGAGAACTTTAGTTGCTTAGTAGTAAGTAGGCTGGGAAAGATCAAGCGGCTCAAAGTTATGAGCGTGGGTGGCTCGATAGTTCCGCATGGTAACTGCTCCGGCTTCTGGTTGCCAAACAAAAACTGCTTGATGCGGCAGAAATCAAGAAACAAAAAGTCAAACACGCAGCAGCAGCAGCAGCAACAACAACAACTACAAAAGCAAAAGCTGCAGCAGCTCAGCTCTCAAGTTAAGCAGTTTGTGTTGAACTTGCCATAGATTTTCGCATTGGCATTTTGACTTTGGCTGCGCGTTGCTTAGCTTTTGCTTTTTGTATAATTTTCCAAAGTTTTTGCCTAAGTCACTTTCTCCCAGCACTTTTGGCAGATGGTGCGGGTGTGGGGGCGGGTGCGGGTGCGGGTGGCAGGATAGCGGGGCTGTGCGCTGAACCTGGCTATGGGCGCAAATTGAGCCTCGAATTAATTATACATGCAGGTCACGCAGATATGATTGTCTTGCCAGCCATATCCAAGCCAATGTCAGGCAATGACGATAGCAACGACATCGTCGACGATTGTGCAGATTGACCAAAGCAACAACAACAACAGCAACAACAACAAATCCAACAACCAAAAGAAGTGCTGCTGTGGCAGCCATGGCTTTGGACAGATAAACTTAAGGACTTAAGCGGCTTGCATGTTTTGCTTACAGCTTAGACGGGTTCGCCAATGCAGAGCCCCACAGGCTTCCATGTGCAGTAAATGGAGGGAGCAGGCAGAAAACTTTTCTAATATTCCAGCAGCAGCAACAGCAGCAGAAGCAGGAGCAGCAACAACTAAAAGTATTTAGCTAATAAATTATACAAAAATTGAAACAAATTCGTTAAGCGTTTGAGTAGTGGCAGTACAGATATGTAGAATGGTGCACAGATTTTGGGCTTTACTAGAAAATTAATATTTAATCATTGGAGCAGGAGGGAGAGGACTTACTGTTAAAATGTTGTTGACTGAACTTCCAAACAGATTAGCTTTGATTTAATTGATTAAATTAAAGTCATTTCATTTGCCTTATTTAATCCCTTTCAGTACATATGTAAGCCACAAACAAATTTTAGTTCAGTCAATACGGTTTTTGGGTTTGACCAATTTTACAAAGCCACAATAAAATAGATGTGGCGAAGAAAATCAAATCTAATAAAGTGCATTCTCTACAGTCTGCTTTTGAGCTGGTCATGGGCTACTTGTATGATATTGGATTTTAAGAACCGTTTTAGATCGAATCAATAACCGAATGTGGAAATAATAAATGGCAGAGCGCTTACTAAAAGTGTATAAATCTGTATTCATTCATTTCTTTATTTGTCTGTTTGTTACCTCATTTTTAAACAACATTTCAATTTCACCAGAATTGAAAAAAGGTTATTTTTCCGAACGGATTATATTTGCTATTTATTAAAAATATTAAATTGTCCATAATGAGTTTCAATTAAATTTATACACTCATATGTTAGTTAACTTTGTTCTTTTGTAACTTAAACTCAACTTTTCGGCTTCAAGTAGATAAAAAGTATATAGTTAATAATTGAACGGCTTAGTTAATCACAAATAAATATAATGCATACATGTTTTTGCAAGAAAACATATGTAATATAATTTTCTTTTTAAATACTAAAAGGTTTCAAGCATAAAACAAAGATAGATGTTTCCAAAAAGCCTAGCAAATTTTTTCAAATTTTCCAA